TAGTTAATTTAGTTTAGTTACTTAACGTACTTAATTATTAGTACTATATATAGTAGTTAGTATAACTTAATAGTTATTAGTTATTATATATATAGTATATATATATATATATATATATATATATATATATATATATACATATGGGTAAACATTACACATTTTAGTGACATACTGTCAAAGGATAGAAGGTGACATTTCTTCAAAAATTAGAATGCTCATAATAACTTCTGGATGACAAAAATTCACATCTAGTGATATTTGTTTATCAATGTGTTTATACTCTATGCACATAGTTATATCTGCTTCACAAAAATTTTGGGTTGTTGTCAAAAAAATTACCTTGTATTCTTATCTTGTTGCATGTTGAGATTTTATTTTTAAGTAGTGAAATTGTTATCCTGTAACATTTTGAGTTGATATTTGTGTAGATTGTCATTCTAAATGTTTATTGGCTATTTTGAGTTCAGTTGATAATTGTAGTCTGATGTTTTCATTAGTCCACATTGATAAAATGATCAGATTGTTCTACATATAGAAGTTGGTTTCAAAATTATCAAGAAATCTCTTGATTAAAAGCTTCTGATGAATCATCAATTTTTTAATATTTTAAATTGTTAGCAAAGAGAACATGATAGGTTTAGCTTCAAGTACTTGTATATTCCTGAACTTAAATTTGTTAATTTCGAATTAGAATCATGATTGTGCTGACACAGTTTGCCTGCTTTTAACACCTGAAAGAAATTGAAGCTTCAAGAATTTTGTAAGTGAGTGTATAATATTTGATTTTTTGTATTACAATGTAATTTTCAAGTTTTAATTCGTAACAAGTGAGAGTTATTTGACAAGTAAAACAGAATACTTCTTCATTGACAAAGAAATAAAACCTCAATAGAGGTAATTTGCATGGTTGACTTGCTGTTATCATATTTAAGTTTGTTCCTTAACAGCTTTATAAATCATGTTTTAGGTTCATGATATAGCTGACCCAAAAAAACAGATAGTTGATTTAAGTCCCCATCCACCTCATGCAAAACGTCGGGATGTCAGTGGTTCCAAGACCTGTGATTTGCCTGTTGAAGTTGATAGCCAGCCAAATAAATCATCACAACAACAGGATGCTAATGATGTACATGAAGCTCGAAGAACTGTTGAACGTCTTGCTCCAGTAAGATAGAGTTTAGCTTTCAGATATGTTAGAATGTTAGAGAAATCTCTTTTTAACAGTTTGCAAACAACAACAAAGTTTTTAAGTTTTCATGGAAATTGTGTTTTTATAAAGAAATTCAACTGACATGTATCAAGAAAAGCAGTGTATTGTACTTAAATAGTGAAGATTTAGGCTATAAATCACTGTATGTGTATGATGCTTTCTGGAACCATTTAGAATGTATGATATTAGAAACTTCTGCACATATTTTATCTTGAGGTTTATTGTATCTGTGTGATGATAAGAATTCTGGTGCATTTGTTACATCTGGTGTGATGTTAAATTTCATGTTTATATATTAAAATATAGCTTTAAGTATTAATATACATGTGTATTATAATTTTACCATACATTTGATGCTCAGAATTTGTGAATGTTTTTGATGTTAGAAATTAATTTATATGTAAGTTTCGTGTACATTATGGTGTATGCTAGATACACGGACTAGTGTATGTAATAGGTGCTAGATGTTCACATGCTTTTTTTATGTTAAGAAGCCATGTACATGTTTAATGTATGAACATTAATGTACGTAAATACCTTATCAAGAGTAGAACAGAGAAACATTTCGATTTCAAAAGATCCAGAAATTTGAGCACTTTTGAGTGGTAAACTATTTTTCTACCTCCTGAAGTAGAAGAGTCAACTGTTTGAAAGTGCCCGAGTTCTGGATCTTTTGAAATATAATCGATTTTTTTGTAATTTTTTTGCACTAAGTTTTCATCAGGATATGGAATAAACAGTAGTAGATAATTTTATTTAAAATAATACAGATGTAATGGATGTTTATCAATCAATACAATAAATGTAAAGATTGAAGATTTCTTAAAATTAAGATAAAGTTTTTAAAATCTCAATTTGAATATACTTTATTAATTAAAGATATAAACGTTTTAAACATTTTGATAATTTTATCTTAAACTATTTTTATAGTTTCACAGATCTTCTGTTGGTAAGATATGGCGTTCTCCAAGTAGAACTTTATACAGAAGTCTAGATTTGGATGGTAAAGGTCAAACAAAAACAGAAGGAAAGGTAATAAAATATAGTATTCCTGATGAACTGACAACTAGTGTCAGTTTGTTGCTAGATAGTGGTTCTCCACTTGTTCAGTCTGACTCGGTTACTTGTAAAGAAAATGTGCACTTGACTGATAAAGTTCGTAGAGATCAGCATGAAACACTTGAACAATCCAAAGTCTGTGATTTCCGTAGCATGTCAGGAAATAATTTTATTGACAGTGGGATACATCATACCATGAAGGATCAACCACATTTTCATATTCTTGATAAATCCAGTAATAACCATCATTATCATCGTCATCATTGCAAAGAAAGGACCTCATATCACATTGAAGGATGCTTGTCACATCCAATGCTGGAATTACATCCCATGGAAAGCTATTATTTTGGACAGGGTGGAGAAGAGCAGAAAATCAGCTCTCCTGGAGAAAATAATGTGTTGAAAGATGCTTCATCACTTGTGGATTTCACTTCTCTTTATGAAAGAGCAGATGAAACAGGTATAGTAGGTTGGCATTTTCATCTTAAACTCTTGTTAAATCAACCCCGTTCATAATGTGTACAACCCTAAATGATGTTAATTATATGTAAGGGAAGTACTTTGTAATAGTTAGTATGGCTGAATCAGAGTAGGATACGTTTTGCTTACAGCTTTAGATTATGATGAAGAAAACCTCAAATATGCAGAAATTTTGTTACAGGTCCAAGTCTCTCTAACCAAGCAGTACATTCAAAGTGAATTTCTTGGATCATTTCTCTCAAATAATAGATATTAGGTCATCAAGAAATTAATGTCGCTTTTTTTAGATGAAAAACCCGAACAAATTACATATCAAAACAAAACATTTATTAAATGAAATAGTCTCCATTCTTATCGATGATGCTTTTCCATCAG